CCGTAACTTCAATGCCACAACGCCGTCTTCAGCAAATCGCTCACCCACACAACAGCATAAAAACTGTCTGTCATCTGCCCCGTAGAGTGAATACCGGGATTCATTCAATAGGAGGTCACTCTCCAAAGTGCCAGATACCATCAAATGTTGTTTACAACGACTAACTGCAGTCAAGAACCCACTGGGGATGATGAGCATGCAGACGAGCTTCCCTTAGACGGTTTCTGACTGTTTGTGCAGAAATTCTTTGGTAATGCAAACCGATTGTTGCAGCAGCTGTGGTTGTGAGGCCGGTTAGATGTACTGCCAAACCTGCTTGAGCTGGATGGATCTCGACAGGAGAATAGGCTCTATGTATAGCTAGAGTTTTAAAGCCAACGATAAACTCTCGGTGAAAGCTTAATGTGACTATTTTTAATTGCACAAGGTTGTTTTTACAGCATTAATGTTGTAATATCATTACAATACATTCAGTTAAATAGACTTAAGCATTAATTTAGTTGTTCAAGCATAAAGTGAGATAAAAGGCCATTGTAACCACTAGCACCGTCAGTAGCAACAGTAGCGCAGAAGTTCTTTTGAAAATACTGGGGTAAAATAAACTGTCATTTTAAACACATGGTGGGAGGAAATGGAATTTATTGCAGTGCTTCTTGTCTGATCTATACCCACTTCATATTGAATATCTAACAGGCAGTGAAGATCACTGCTTTTTAACCCTCTACTGCACGCCGTAACCATATGGTAACATGATACCTATGTTCATTTCACTGCCACTGTTTCTTTAAGACCAACATATAAATTTTTTTGTTGGAAAGAGAAGACCTTAGAGTAGCCAATGATGTGCTTTGGTTAAAGCCTGATTTATACTTCTGCGTCAAGTGACCGGCGTAACCCACGGCGCAGGCAACGCGCGTGGCTGTGCATTTATACTTCTGCGCGCTGTCTCTGTCGGTCTGCATTAACACTTCCGAAACGCTAGTGGGCAGTGAGGTGTTAATGTTCCTCTGTGTCGAGTTTCTTCTCTGCTTTTTTGCTTTTCCTGAACACTTCCGGGATGTACAAGTGGCTCAAACTCGCTCATTTTGAGGCAGGAACCGGCGGACGTGCAACAACTTTAACTATGAGGTAAACACAAAACAAAACTTTTCATCCGGAGCTCCTTCACGGGACTCCACACTTGTAAACAATCGCTCGCGCCATTCATGCGGCTCTCGGTCCCGCCCAGACTCGTCAGTGCTACCAAACCGACCAATCACAGAGCTTACGCTATGCGTCGTTGCGACGTGTAGTTACATTTTTTGAGAGGTGCACATCAGTGACGGCGATGGCAACGGCGAAGGGTTATGCGTCAGCGCCCTAGCATACGCCGACGTTTGACGCAGAAGTATAAATCAGCCTTAAGTCACATGACATCTAGTGTTTTTCTGTAGCGCGATTTCTGACAGAATTATTGTGAGTAGTTGTTAAATGCAAATGTAAACGTCAATAAAAACAAAGGATCAAATTATGTCAGATCAACAAAAAAAATCTGAAACATCACCTCTAGTAAGTCATGATGACATATTCACAACTCAATTAAAAAAAAAATAAAGAAATTAATTTTTGTAAATCGATCAAATGTGTGTGTTAACAAATGGCAAAACTGTGCAATAGTGGAACATGCAATATTGCAATGGGTTAGCTAGCTAGCTAGGTCAGCTGTGAACTTTTAAGTTGTAACAATAACAATATGAATGCTAATAATATAATGTTGATTAGTCATAATAATAATAATAGTTAATAATAATTTGTTACATTTATATAGCGCTTTACTGGGCACTCAAAGCGCTTTACACAATGGGGGGGAATCTCCTCATCCACCACCACTGTGCAGCATCCACCTGGATGACGCAACGGCAGCCATTTTGCGCCAGACCGCACACCACACACCAGCAGATTGGTGGAGAGGAGACAGAGTGATAATATGCCAATCATGATATGGGGAGGGTTAGGAGGCCATGATGGACAGAGGCCAGTGGGCAGATTTGGCCAGATTTTAGTCATGTGTTAATGGCATTTACATCAAGGATAAAATCTAGTTTTAATGGCAATATAGTTTTGAATAGATATCAATACAGGGAACAGTGTATTAGCGAGCACCACTATGTTCTATGGGAATTTAAAGAAAAAAAGGACCGAACTGGCTCTTCCTGCAGATGAAAGTGAGAATGAGATGGGTTTTAGTGACCATGAGAATGATGCAGACTGGACATTTGATTGAGACGGTTCAGATAAGTAAGTTCAGATGCAGATAAGACAGGCAGAGTATAGTATATAGTATAATATATAAATATTGTTGGCTAGTAGCTACATTTTTCTGATGCACCTGGATATACTAGACTTGTTATTTATTTGTTGTAATATTTGCTGGTTAAAATATTTATATTTACTGTATGTTGTATATATAATAATACAATATTATGATTGTTTTAATAATATTCAGCAAAAAAAAAAAAATAGAATAAATGAAAGCTGTCGGAATATGAGTTGTGGTAAAGTATGTATAAGGTGTAATTTATAAGTTCTGTGTTTAAGCTCATAATGCTGCAACACCAATTAAATTATTTCAAACAAATAAATGATTAACTATAGGGAAAGTTTTAAATTAGAAATTTCTCAGGTAGGTCCACTGTTGGACGTTGTTGCCAATTGCCAAATGGCGACATTTCACAAAGTACTTTAAAAAAAAAAAAATTCCAAATCTTTTTTTACATCACTTCAAGTTAAGCCATTTTAACAAAAGAAAAAAAAAGTAAAATATATTTTTTTACAGGTTTACCATAATTCGAGTGGTAGAGGGTTAAAGAAATCAGATTTTTGACGTGAGAATTTTGTTATGGAAAGATAGTCCACCCGAAGCTCTTGGACTGCCTAGCTGAAAATTAAAAGTCTGTGTGCTTACAGCCCGTTGCTCACTAACAGATTTAGACAAATGTGTGAACTATATTTGAGAGAAATAGGCCTTTTGCGTACATAGAAAAAAAACTTTGAATTGACCTCTTGAGAATGGGAGCAAAAATGAAAGTGTTGTGTTTATATTTAACTGTGTATTTGTGCTCCTATTAATGTTCCTTATTCTTGTTCGTAGATGCGTGTAATATCACTCTTGATCCAAATACTGCACATGAAATGCTCTCAGTTGCAGAGGACAACAAAACATTGGTGCGTAACTCAGAGCCAATGATTTATCCTGATCACCCAGACAGATTTACCGGCCTCCCACAGATTCTGTGTAAAGAGCGTCTGTCTGGACGCTGCTACTGGGAGGCCGAGTGGAAAGGACTGGGTGACATGGTGGTGTCCTATGGAGGAATCGGCAGGAAAGGAGAAAGTCTTGATTGTCGATTCGGAGCCAATGACAAGTCCTGGATTCTGAGCTGCTTTATTGGAGAGAAACTGATTGTCTGGCATGATAACATGGGGGTTTATATTCCTCTCCCAACAACTCCCTATAACAGAATTGGGGTGTTTCTAGACGAGCCGGCTGGCATTTTGTCCTTCTTCAGTGTCCCTGATGAAAACACACTTAATCACTTGTACACGTTCAAAACCAAATTTACTGAACCCCTCTATGCTGGATTTGTGCTTTATACAGAGTCAGTGACTCTGTGTGATCTTAACTCTTTCACATGTACAATCACACCCATGTGATTAAAACGTACATCATAACCTGCTAAAATTAAAATCTCATTTAAGCTGAGGCATAGAAAAAGATGTGCAGTGCTGGTCATAAATCACAATTTATCAGTGTTTTCAAACAAACAACATTTATTTTAGGTTTCAGACATTCAAATACACATGACTACTAGCAAATACACGCTGGTGACTATAGAGGTGACAATAATCATTATTTTTTAAATAACTGCACGATGTGCTTTATTCACATTAGAGACACTGTTTATATTACTCCAACATTTACTCTATTTCTCTCGCAGTTAAACAGCCACTTTTATATGTTTCGGAGGAAAATGATGAATAAACGTGTTGTAAATCCAGCAGCTCTAATCTCCCCTGCAGCATAGTCTAAACCAGGAGTGTCCAAAATTGATCCTGGAGGGCCGATGTCCTGCAGATTTTAGCGCCAACTTGCCTCAACACACCTGCAAGGATGTTTCTAGAAAGCTGTGTAAAGCTGTGGTCACACTGCACTTTTAATGCATCAGACCAGAAACACAAGTTTTGCAGTTCTCTGCATTGAAAAGTTTAAGCTTGGTGTGGTGAGCTCTGACCTTTTTTATGTCTAATCATCTTGTTTAATCTCACCCCTTTTCGCAGCGCCGTACTACAGAATTTCGGAAGCTTAAACTGTGTGACCACAGCTTTACAGCTTGATAAGCTAGCTGTGTTCGATTGGGGCTAGGGCTAAACTTGGCAGGACACCAGCTTTCCAGAACCGAGTTTGGGCACCCCTGATTTAAACACTCATAATCCTTCATATATCAAATAATATGATAATATATATGGTAATTAGAATATCAGATAATTCACAATATAGTTTGCATGTTTGTCAGTGCTTACAGTAAAGGGAAGCAAAACACCATATAGACGTAACCCATTGGGGCTGTGGTGTGTCACCTGATAAACTTAAAATAATTTTCTAAATAACAGTCACAATTAAAAAAAGCTCACCCAGGAGGGGCAGCGGGAGTATTTAGAACTTGTGAAAGGGCTAAACAACAGACTGAATAATTTCTGTACACTACAAAATATAGAGTGACTCTCAAAAGTATTTGGACAGTTGAGATTAGAGATGGGATGGTATCTGTAACCTCGCAGGACTTGAAATGCAACACGACTTGATTGTATCGTTTTTTATATGGTTTTGCAATAAATACTCATGACATTTTTTTGCATGCTGCTTATTTAAGTGATCCAAAATATTTCTGAAAGTATGCATTTTAATAAAATGATTTATATTTTACAAATGCACTTAAACTATGTGATGGTAAAGTAAAGAAGTACGGCCTCAAACATGCATTTGAGTAAATAGAATCTATTACTACTACCTATAGTTTTATGCTGGTAACTAGAACTTGAACCATATTGACACATTAATACTAAAGAATTTACATTTCTAATTTTATTGTAAATATGTTTTTGCCCATTCTCAGCAATCCAGAAGTCAAGCAATATCCCTCTGCAATATTGACCAACAACACCACTCAAAAAGTCGCCCTTTATTTCATTATCTTGCCACAAACTCACAGCTTTCAGCAAGTAGTTTTGCATCTGTTAATCAAGAACAAGCTGCCATTTATGTTAAAAATATAATGATTATCTAAGCCTATAGCTCTATAAGTAAAAAATGTCTTCATTTTGTCCAAAACTGTTTTGCTTTGATAAAATATAGTGAAAATAATCAACTACAAGCTAGATTTTAGCATTTGGCATTGTGACAGTCTCTCTTTTTTGTTTCTGTGTTTACACACAAATAAATACTATAGTAATTTATCCTAAAAATGATGGTGATGGTGTTTTTAAAACCACGCTATAGTAAATTATATTATACTATATGTTATTTGCAACACTTCAATAATAGATGCTACAGCATGCTGTAGTATTATGTACTCGTCAACTGATAAACTAATAAATACTGTAGTAAACTGAAGGTTTTATTGGCCTATGTAGCTCCTCAAATACGGATAATTTACAGCAGTGTATAAGCAACAAAACATACACAAATATTTCAGATTTAATGCCAAGGTCATAACCAGAACTGATTTTACTATTTTAAAGTTTTCAGAGAGAAATATAAAACAATTTAATAGTATTTTTGCAATTGTGCAACTTGTTTTTGTCTAGAAAGTCACATGCTATATTGTGTGGTTAAACTCAGCTGAAGCGAAAAAAACAAAACCAGAAACAATGTCCTTTTATATGGTCTCTTGAAAACTAATGACAAACAGCATCAGTCAGCTATGTTTTTGACCGCAGAAGAGTGAAAATGCACTTTTTGTGGTTCACTAGTTTTGACACAATAATATGTCCTCCTTCATATATGCTGTTAAAAGTGCACAAGATTAACACTGAAGGATCTGGAGATTTCTTTCTTTACCAGTAAATCTCCTTTATATCAAGATCACATTATAATAACATCAGCTCCTAATGTTACTGCTAAGTTTGTAGACTCAGTGGCTTTAAACCACAACAGACCTGCGAGAGAAACACATTTATTGAGGTATGAAATTAAAACAAAACCCATATAACCAAATGTTTAGAGGAAACTCACAGATTAGAAGCTTTGAGATCTTTATGGTCTGAACCTGATGAATCTGGAACACTGAGATCATTTAAACATCTGTGAGTGGAAACACAACAGTAGATCTGCATCACTCGCTACAGGCGAGTTTGTTTTTTGATTATTGTGTCTTGAAAATGTAAATAATCAAAATTTTCTTGAAAAATTTATTGCCAATGTGAGTGAGATCAAAATAGCGTATTATTTAAATTGTTACCAAAATGCTGTAAGTTTGCTTCACCACAAGATGGCGGCGGAATGACCGAGTAAGTAAATAATCGATTTTGTTTTGAGTTCATCACATATCAGGATCAAATTCGGAGTTGACGTTTTTAGTGTTCATAGTGAGTGTTGTGAGTCTAAGATTCATATTATTTTGCTTTAGTGCTTCAGTCAATCTAATCTGAACTTCTGGGGGGAATTGACTCCGTGTAGCTTTTTACTCTATGCGACATGAGGAGTTTTCAGCTTCAGCTCTGTAAGTTAAATTACATTATCAATATATTGTAATATTTGACTGTAATCCACATGTTGTACGTGATTGTGTGCAATATATTTATTTTAGTTTACATTTATTTAAATCTAAAAATGTGACGTATCATCTTAAAATGTAATGACAAAAAATAAAAAGGTTTACCCAAATGAAAATAATCTTTCAATAAAATTAAAATGTTCAAAGTAAAATTAATAATATATTACATTTAATTGTATTTTGAAAAATATTTTAACAGTTAGACAGTGAATTCATTTTCATGAGGGCTTTTGACAGCACGCAGCACAGTTCAAAACAACATAGATGAATGAAGAAATTACAGTAACACTTTACAATAACAGTACAGGAATAATGATGTATTGATATGTAACCTAAACATTACTTTATTATGAATTCATGATGAGTTAAGGTATGCACTAATCATGAATTAACTACAACATAAGTCACATGAGTTCATGTGTGAATGACAGCTACCTACGTGTTAGGATTGTTTGTTAATTAATGTATTAATTACCGCATTACTTTATGCTTAATTTAACCATGATGAACTCATGATATGTTAATGTATAATTATATTGTGACTTTACTTGGAGGGGCACATCATCATTAACCCATTCTTAACTACTCAAACACTCCTTATGCACGTCCAACTAGTGAGTTTACACTGAAGAACAATAGAAAAGTGTTCTGTCAACATCAACATGAACAGGAGTTTATGAGTAGTTAAGAACAGGGACGGACTGGGACAAAAATTCAGCCCTGGCACTATAGCCACACCAGCCCACATTACCATACGTACTGTTTGTTTGACATTCTTGCCAGATTTTGATTATGTCCGCGTAATCTTTGATTGAGTCGGCCCCTCTCGAAACTATCACCGATTGGGCCAAATGCTTAACATTTACTATTATTATTACTATTATTACCATCATCAACGTCATCATAATATTCACATACACGAGATAAAAGCTGCCTGCATGTAAAAACAATACATATAAAAAATTATAATAAAATACAAAATAAAAATAAAAATAAAAAACTAACCAGCCCACATTTAAAAAAATGGTCCGGCCCTTCTGGCATTTGCCAGAATTGCCAGATGGCCAGTCCACCCCTGGTTAAGAATGAGTTAATAGTGATGTGCCCCTCCAAGTAGTCATGACATAACTACATTAACAGCTCATGAGTTCATGCTGGTTACATTTAGCTTAAACTTAAATGTTAATTAATACATTTATTAACAACATACTAACAAGTAATTAAGGTAGTCGTTATTTACATATGAACTCATGTGACTCATGTTGTAGTTAAAGTTAATTCATGATTAGTGCATAACTTAACTCATCATTAATTCATAATAAAGTAATGTTTATTTTACATATTAATACATCATTATTCATGTACTGTTATTGTACAGTGTTACCGAAATTACATATAGGCACACAGAAGAAGATATCTAATGTCACATGGGCGATTTGGCAATAAATGCAATCCTGATAATTATTTTCCATATTTAACAATAAAAATATATTTCGATATAAGTTGGAAATGCTTCCAGATTTCAAAGAGTATCCCAACAGTGACTGAAGCCACAAAAATTAGAGGATAAAATGTTTTTGACGGATACATTTTCAGTGGCCAAAAAGTAGAGTAAAAAAGTCCAGAGCTTTTGTTATTGACATCATTTTTATTGACATATATTTTAGTTCAATTCAATATAATATCGTTTATTGGCCCAGCTCTGTAAAATAGGTGTAGTAGCGGGTCACAGTTTTACAATGTTTCCAGTACGCACAACTGAAAATTACAACTGGTTATCTTCTTCTTAGCGAAGCATGAAAGAACTGTCTAAACTCTTAAATAAACTAAATATTAAAGTAATTACAGATTTGTCCCATTTTAAACAAACACTAAATGTATGAAGTTATGAAGCATTTAAATAAAATGTATTATTATAAACAATATATTTCAAAAGTTTTGTCAAAATTCTAATTTATAATGGAAATGATCATCAAACGTATGAAAACATAATAAAACTGAGTTTTGCTTATGGGATCTGTGGAAATGTTTAAACTATTCTCTCATCTCTAATCTTAATTATGATGCTCATTTTGCTTCTCCTTTTTTGATAGATGTATTGATCTGTTGTCAAGCAGGAGTGGCAGATCTACTAACTGCTCTGGGATCAAATGTAACCATAAACTGTGATCTTGATGAAAATGACGTTTATTGGATCTTACAGAAAACTCCAGATCCTCCAACAGTGATTCTGCGATCATTCTCAACACCAGCATCATCTTTATACTTGAATAAATCATTCAGGATCAAATATTCAGTGCAGTTTAAACATCGTCTGGTTATTAACAACCTTACTGCTGATGAATTAGGACTTTATTACTGTATGAGCACACGCACACCTCCACAATTCAGCAGCAGCACCAGATTATACATCACAACCGGTGAGTCCATTCAGTTCTTCAGTGATGAAAAGCTAATGTTTGCTGTTAAAATTGGTACTGATTTCACTTTTTTAACACTTTATTCACGGAACCAGGTCAACTAACGGAATTAGATTAGTGTCTTAATCATACAGCAGAGGTGTTTATGGATCAGAATCAAACACAATGGCAGATTATTGGCTTCATATCTGCTCTGATGTGTGGCTGTCTGCTCATTGTGCTGATTGGTGAGTAATTTATATAAATATTTAATTAGGATATTAGGAGTCAGCATAGAAATATCCAAGTAGTAGTATATGTGATAATCTTTTACAAAAGGCAAGATTTTGTCATTAAATATGTCATTGATTTTTTTTTATGCATATTAATAATTCTTATATGAATTTACAGTTTCATCTTTAGTTTTTGCTGCTGGAAAAACAGAGGGGCTGGAAAAACACATTCATGCTGCTGATATACTGCGGACTCAAGTTACATATCAACCTCAAGACTCAAACAAATCAGGTAAAAGATTTGAAATCACAATTAATTTAATTTCTGTTTATATACACCAAAGCCTGTTCATATGGCAATTATAATGATAAAAATTATGATAAAATTATTTACAATTAAATAAAACCCTCTTTTCTGCTCCATATGCACCAGAAATCTTCTTATAAACAAAACGTATTGTTTATATAGTGCGTTTACATGTACGTTACAGTATTAAGTCAATTATGCTGCGTTTTTATCTTCATTTGTTAGTCGCTTTTGGATAAAAGCATCTAAATAAATATAAATGAACAAATATTTGGTTAAACAATTGTAGAGCACTTTTAATAAACAAGGTTTTGTGGATTGGTAGAAATGTATTTATTGTTTTATTTATGTTACATTTATTAATCTTGGCTTGAATATCTTTTATTTTTTAAAGCATTGTTTTGATTAACTTAAGGTCCTTTTAGTTCAAGTGCACTGACATTTGAACTGTTTTCCTCATCTTTTCCTGTAGTGTGCTGACAGACATGTTGAGCTTTGAACTTTTGAAAAATATTTGGTACAGTAAGTGAACAGCATTGATGTATGGCTATATAGAACTTTCTCACAATATCAATCAGTTTAAATTGTATGTTATTGGAAGAGCGTATTGTTTGACAGTGTAAAATTAATGTTGGAGTAAAAAAAGTCTCTTTTGACACCAATAAATTGATTAGAAAGTAGGTTTTATTACTTGCTCTTTATGGCTCAAACATTTCCATCATTATTAACTGCAAGAAAGACACTGTTAAGAAGATTTTGACTACTCAAACCTAACTACACTGATATGTTTTATTTTATTCATATTGAGCTGCAGTTGTTAATTGAGTTAGTAATTGCACACAGCATAACATATGTGATGGTAATGAACATGAATTGGATAAAGTACATTTCTTGTTTAAAAACTAAGCTTTTATTAAGATTTCATATTTATTTCATTAATGTCTTATGATGATTTACAAATATGAACCAACAATGAAGAATCCATTTATCACATTATGTTTTACAGTATTATTACAGTATATTTGTTGATGTAAGGCAACACATAAAGCCATTCATATTTAGTCTGTGTTAACTTGCAGTGCAAAAGGGTAAGGGATAAAATATGTCCAGGTGGATAGTTATCGCAGAATAAAGCAATACATGCTTATCGGCTGCTGTTGAATAAGAATGAAACATTTTATTCTGTGGACATAATCACCTGGATGTATTTCATACCACTTTTTAAAAGGCTACTTGATACAAAACAAAAAAAATAGACAAAACATTGTTTAGAGCCATAATAGTTAATTAATTCTTTAATTAAATGCAATGCTGACAGAAATAAAAAAAGGCTGAATGGAGCATATACACTAACCTGTGAATTATTAATTCACATAATGGTGCCAAACATTAAAAACAGCAGTATGACAATCATATAAATATGGATGTGCCCATATTCACTGATGGTCGAGAATATTCTAAGTACTGTGTTGTCAGTTTCAGCAGTTGTTATTTCAGAATATATCGTATTCAAGACAGCCGCATAATATCTGACTTTAAAAAGCACAACTTTGGAAAACTTTTGAACTATGATTAATAAATGTTGCACAATTATCAATCATATTTAGTTCATGTCAGTAAATACATTAACTATAAAAAAATCTTGACTTATAAAAGACAAAGGAAAAAAAAAAACACCAAGACTATGTGGTTAAACTCAACTGAAGCACTAAAGCAAAAGCAAAATAAGTTCACCTTTGTCTAGAGTAAAGGTTTGACCGTAAACCAGTGCACCCTTCATACGTTTATGTCTCGCAGTTCTCACATTCATCTAAACCTCAGATGGAAATAGCAGCACTGCAGGGTGTCTGTTAATAAACCGCAACATCAATGAAGGGTGTTTAGAGGCTTTAAGCAAAGAAATAAATGATTTTGTACATATAGAAGTAGTGATAGAATAAATTAATCTGAATCCATAAATAAAATCAAAATAAAAGTGGATTGAAAACTAAAACAGGAACTGCTAATTTGCTGCTTATTAATAGTAAGGTAGTTGGGTTTAGGTATTGGGTGGGATTAGTTATGTAGATTAATATTGTACTTTATAAATACTAATAAACTGCCAATATTTAATACTTTCTTTATTGTCCACAATTTGAAATTTATCTTTGCTTCACCACACAACCACATCAGCGTTCATATTATTCAAATATCACAGAAAAACAGGCAACACAAATGCATTCAATATCATCACATATATCACATTAAAAACTCAATTAAAACCCTATTCATACTTAAAACTCAGTATTTAAAATTCTAATGGCAGTCATTCAATAATGATTCAATAATAATGTGTGCTTTCTGTTTAATTCTCATTATTTTTTTACAGTTCATTTAGTTTTCTTTATGCTTTGCCTACAATTGCACTGGGAATTTTTTACTACTTGACAGTTTTTGTTTTTCTTTAATTGGCAACAGTCCTTACCATGCAATCATGTTAAAACTCACAACTTCTTCAACCAAATTCAACCTAATTAATCTCCAGAATATCTTGACTCATGTCAAATTGTTGTAATCTCCTAATAAGCTTTTTTATACATTCTACATTTCCAGCAAATGTCAAATTACCATCAATAAAATTCCTAAATATTTAAAATATTGTTAAACTGTCTCTATTTCATGTCCTTCAAGGACAAAAGGTTTCAATCCTCAAGTAAGAACTACTTTATTTCTGGTAAATACCATCTCCTTGGTTTTATTCAAATGTATCTCCACTGAACTCATTTTACACCAGTTTTGATGCAATTTTTTTATAACTATAGTACAGGGTATCTCCCTTTGTTCCTGTTTTAGTCAACCGGCCAACAAGTGCCATATCATCTGCATATTTCAATAATTTAAGTTATATTTTAATAACTTAAGTTCATTTGTGTAAAGAAAAAAGTTAAGGTGATAAAATGTTTTTTTTTGTGGAACTCCTGTATTTACAATAATTGTTTAATATGTATAATATACGTATAATAAGCTTGTAGTAGTGAGAATTATTACTTAAGCTTAAAATGTTACCAAAACATTAAATTTGGCATTTGTATAAGTTCATCTCTTTTATTTTTTTCTACTCAAATTCAAACATTTTATACAAGGCACCGTGTTTTAAATGCACAAGTGAAATGATTTATTTACAAGAGCGTGTCTTTAAACTTCTCTGACTCTCTCGTGTTCTGTTTCCGCATTTGTATTTGACTGCAGAAGAGTGAAGATGCACTCGCTCTGACAAGATCTGCTTCCACTGAGATGCTTCAACAAAACAGTTTCAACAAACTGAAAGAACAAATTACATGGATCAGATTTAATGACCATAAAAGACAACATATGTTCATGTTCAACTGTAATTTTACACACCAACCTGATTTCACCATAGAACTTAGAATAACATCTATGTTGATCCTGGAACAACATTCCAATCAGCCAATCAGAGTTAAGGGATACGTTTATTGTCTAGTTTAAGTTTAGGCTTACAGTTATGTTTATGCACTTCTACATACACGATCATTAGCCAACTATTATTCCCTTCCAATTTTAGAAATAATTTACATTTATAGTTGGGTTTAGGGGTAGAGAATAGGTATTGATCACATTTTTGAACAAAAATTATGTTCCAGGATCAACGTAGATGTTAACCCAGAATTGCATCGTATTTTTAAATTTTTTTTTCTTTTTTAAATTTTTCCCAAATGATGTTTAACAGAGCAAGGAATGTTTCACAGTTGGTCTGATAATATATTTTCTTCTGGAGAAAGTCTGATTTGTTATTTCGACTAGAAGAAAAGCAGTTTTAATAAAAAAAAAAAAAAAAACATTTTAAATTCAAAATTATTAGCCCCTTTAAGCTATATATACAATTGAAGTCAGAATAATTAGCCCCCTTCGAATTATTTATTTATTTATTAAAAAAAATTTTTTTTTTTAATATTTCCCAAATTATGTTTATCAGAGCAAGGACATTTTCACAGTGTGTCTGATAATATTTTTTCTTCTGGAAAAAAATCTAATTTGTTTAATTTTGGCTAGAATAAAAGCAGTTTTAAAATTTTTTTAAACACCCTTTTAGGGACAAAATTATTAGCCCCCATAAGCTATATTTGTTCTTGATAATCTACAGGACAAACCAATGTTACACAATTACTTGCCTAATTACCCTAAGTTAATCCTTTAAATGTCACTTTAAGTTGTATAGAAGTGTCTTGAAAAATATCTAGTCAAATATAATGTACTGTCACCATGGCAAAGATAAAATAAATCTGAATAAATTATTTATTTATTTATTTATAAATTATAAATAACTATATTTATAAATAACCCCTATATTTAGAGGGTGGGGGGGTTCCAGATCTTTTTAAATCCCAAAATGCATCACAGAATAGCTGCAACTCAAGTACTACTAATATAATAAAAACAGCACTGAAGGTGTGAGATGATGTTTAAAAGGTTTCTATGTATCAAATGTAATTCTCACCTGTTGCTCTTTCACTTCATTACATGTTTTATCAGCACATCTTATGACCAAACCTTAAAACAGGATCAAAATAAAAATCACTAAGACTTATTAAACAAATTAAGTTCAAACAGGAACAGATTAGTAAATGTTTATAGATTTACAGTAAAAATAAGGTAAAAAGTTAATTTATTATCCAATATCCAATACACACCAATAGCTGCAATGACGGATAAAGCGCCAACCAGGACAGATGGGATGATGATCATATTTCTCCATGATTTCTGGTTTTGTGAAGCATCGTCTGATTCTGAAGTCAAAGACATGTCTATAAATATCCAAATATTAAATCTTAAACAAAACAATCACAACATCGTAGTATGGTAAATGTTGTTAAATGACAACACTGAACACATGAAAATAACTCACCGGTTAAGTTGATTCTGGTGCCGTTGCTGAATTTTTGTGGTTCACTAGTTTTGACACAATAATAAACTGCTAATTCATCAGT